TCCCGGCGGAAGGAAAATACACAACGGGGTTAAAAATATTATCTGTCTCAATACAGAGTTCTGTACAAGCTGACATTCACAACGGGCTAAAGAAAAGGCTTATTTATAAATATATATACACATATATACAGATCTGTAAAAGCTGACATTCACAACAGGCTAAAGAAAAGGCTTTTTTATAAATATATATACACATATATAAATAAATATACATATAGATATAAATATATGTACTTATTACAGTATATAAATAAACATATCCATATATTTACATACACATACATATATGTATTTATATACATATATACATATATATTTATATATGTGTGTATATTTATAAATACACCTTTTCTTTAGTTTTTTTTGGCAGCAATATATTATTAGTATTATTTTGAAGCAGCAAACTGAAGATTGATGCTTCTCTCTGTATAAACTTTGCTTTTTCTCTAGGGTGGGTGGAGGTTTGCTTTGGGTTGAACTAGCAAAATAAAAAAAAAAACAAAGACGGTGGGGAGCGCTAGGTTAGTGGACACTTAAGTGACCACAAGTGTACGCATGTCCCTGTAACGGACTGGAAAACTGACCAGAGTACACGCCGCCCTCCTGGAAGACTGTAAGAGACCCCTGGTCCTGTTTTGACGAAACCTTCACACTTCAGTGTGGGGACTGTGGATGTCAAGCCGCTGAACTCCAAAGCTGATGTGAGACAGACTCCTATCAGAGCAGCGACACCGGGGAATACAACAAGAGGTAAGAAAGCTCCACACCTCACTGCTAATTTACCAAGTCCTTGATCTGACGCGGGTCCCGAGTGTTCAGGCGCTTGCAGCACATCGCCATTCTTCCCTTGATGACTTAATGCAATTTACATGCATTCGACGGCCACAAAAGCTTTATTGCCCCAGACTGCACACTGTGATGGGCATATGTTTCTGATTCCGCCTTGTGAGGATAATCATTGTTTTTCACTAAAACTATGAAAGCAAGGGAAAATGTGCAAAAGCTCACTCACACTTCATCAAAGTGCTTCACCCTCAGGATGTGAAAATATTACACTTTTTATTGTAGCCACCACCCAGGGTAAAAGTGTTGTTAAATCTGTTACAGGTGGCGTTGTCATCCTTTGTATAAAGGCTATCTAAACCGTGGGCCTTTTGTTTATGAACCATATCTTGACGTGCCACAGAAAGAGAAGCACGGCTCTGAAAAATAAAACGAGCCCTGGCTGCGTGCCATTCAGTTGCTTCACTTTCAGGCCCATGGTTATACACAGGCTGGTTCACTTTCACTTTTCTTGCCTTTTAACCCTTTTCTTTAGTTTAATGCCGTTCAGTTTTGGTTGCTGTTACATAACAGGAAGAATTAGAACGACGGAGAAATCAGACTAAAAACGGCCATTTAACCATGTGGCAGCTGCTAGGTTAGCGTTAATGAGTTAGAAAACAAACAACATTTTTACCTTTACACTAAATGACCTGTAGTCCTCAATTACTATTTGTAGCCAAATTATTCATAATTAGCACATTCAAATTCAACAGTCAATCACATTAATACATTTGTGGAGATCAGATTTTTTTGTCTTACACATTTTAACTCGTGCTAAAAAATATGCTAAAAGCTAAAAAACTTGTCATATTTAGGAATGTTGATTAGCCTGGATTTATCATGATTATTCTTGATTACATTTAAAATTAATTGCAATGAATTATGATTCCACATACTGTGATTAATCTAATCTTCTGACAGCCCTTGTGATCATGACACTTCTTTAAAGGTCCAGTTCTATCTTCTCTTCTACTTAAGAGAAGATTGCCTCAAATAAGCCCATCATAATCTCTTCAGTGTGTCGGCACACGGCAGGAAGTGTTGGGTCTCTCCCCTTCCATAATACGTATTCCATGGTCTGCACCACAAACCCCAGCACGCACATTCGATATGGAAAACTTTCTCCAAGGACACATTTATCTACAGTTTCCGTCGGAGTTCCCCAGAGTGGCACACGAGTATGGAATTCAAACAACTGATGACTACTCTGAGGTCTGTCCACGGTCTCCGCGCGCTGATTCAACGCGCACGCAGTTATACATCATGCCGCCTGTATTTTTCCCAGCCTTTCACTTCGGGTTTACATTTCTCTCATTCCTTGGCTCTCTCTCCTTCTGTGTTTGCCTCCACAGCCTAATTGGTTGTCTTTCCCACAGGGAGAGAAACGGGCCGAGATAGGAACCATGTTGAACTAATTGCTTGCGGTGGTACTGGTGGTCTGATGAAATGTTGGGCTGATGCTGGTTCCTCTGCCAGGATATGGGCTACGACTGTGAGGGGTCCAGATGTCTTTGCACCTCCTGTCTCCCTGTCGTTGCCCGTCGTTTTTTTACTGACATTTTTCTCACTCTCTGTGTCTGCGCTAAATGATTTAATTAAGGTTGAAGCGTAAAATCCAAGAAATTAAAAAAATGAAATATTCCAAGACAAGAACACGTACAGCAGCAGTTCTAATTATAATCTTAAAATGTCAAGCTTAAAATAAGCA